CTACTCTTATTTTCCAGGTAAAAGCAAAGCTTCCATGTACGGCTGACGATGACATCGCAACTTAGAAGACCATGACACATGCATAAGGTAGTTTGTATTTAAATTTGTAGACTATAGGTTCGTATAAGGTATTTCTGTTTTAGTTTACTTATGTCGATTTTAGTTTTAGTTAAATTGTTTTAAATACTTTTCAATAAACATGCAAGTCCATGACTATGTTTTATGATTATGATTCATATGATTATTTTTGCATAAAATGATTACATTATGTATATAGAAGTTAAGTAGGAATCTAGGGTCGGTACACGTCTAATGACCGAGTGCCAATGATGATCGTTATCACCTTCATGGTAAAATCATCCATAGAATCTCGTTCTTTCGGCAGACAGCCTCAAAATCGCTTTTTAATGTCTACACCTTTGCTTCCTTGACCCGTTCCACACCCATATGCATTGTTTGCAGCGTCTCTCATGTTGCCTTTACCGAATCCTTCTCTACCAATATGAGAAGGACGTCCTCTCGGTCTGCTTTGTAGATGACAACAAGAGTCATCCTTTGCTTATAGTCCTCGAAGCCATCAACATACTTGGTGGTGTCCCACACACTTTGTGTCTGTAAATTAAAACACATATTTATCGACCATGCTGCTTAGTTACTTTTCGTGAGTAGCATGTACTAGAGCATTACATGCCCCTCCTTTCTACTATTTATTGACGTCACATCTCCTTCGACAACTTAGTGTGGTGACAACTTAGCATCCTAGCTTCAAAACCAGATGTTGGTTTTGACCCTCAATTGAATCACACTGAAACGAATAACCGAAGTATATAAAAATACAATAATTTGAGGAGAAGTATGTAACAACACAATAACTTTAGGGGTTCTATGTAAGAACCTTAGACTATAACTATGGATTCAAATTCTCTCCATATGCTCGAGATGTATATCAATTTTACACGTAGTTCCATGTGCACCACTTTCGTAAACGCATAACCCACCAGACTCCTATAGCTTTAGTATTTCTTAGGCCTTACCAGATACACATCAATTTCACATACTATCAGCATCAATTTCGTACACACTGACTCCACATTTCAATACTTAAATGCTCGATTGAATATCATAAGAATTATGGAAAGAAGGAAAAATGAATAAATTATTTTTCATGCGTACAACATCACACGCTTACATGAGGTCCCACAAGTTGAAAATATCTATTGCAAATTAATATCCAACAATATTTTTTAATCAATCTCAATGAAAATCACCGTCCATGATATTATCGAGTTTGTGCATAAGCTCTAGTGAATTTGTTTTATCAATGTGAGACTCTTCCCTAGAAATCATCCATTTGAACAAAGTAACACTATAGAGCCTCCATTGAGGCTATGAAGCTCTCGAATAATCTCCCTTTAATCGAGGCTCGACTCCTTTTTTAGAACCCTTGAACAAAGTACACACTTTGTTCGACACTTGAGTCACTTTTGACTACAACTTCGAGGTTCAAAACTTTTTTGTTCGACAGTTAAGGATTCTATAGACATGATAGGTCAAGAACATGACTCTGATACCATGTTAGGAACCACGACCCACCATAATGATATGATATTGTCCACTTTGAGCATAAGTTATCATGTATTTAGTTTTGGTTTCCCTAAAAGGCCTAGTGCTATTGGAAATAATATTCCTTACTTATATACCCATTTTCCTCGACAAGCCTATCCCTCTTGTTTTATATTGCAAATATGTACGATCGATGAGAGACACAGTGGGGGCTCGAACTAGCCGCAAATCAAAGCTGATGGCAGCTTGCCATTGAAGACGATTGTGACCAGAGTGGTGTGGCGTGTTGAAATATAGAAATGTGATCACTCACGTTGGAGAAGATGTCATTAATCGAAGGGAGGCGTCTAATTCGCTTGTTGAAACGGTCACATAGGTCAAACATCATGAGTCCGTTCAAACGTCATCGATTAAGGAAGTTCACGTCGCTCGTTAGATGGAAATTATGTTGTTAAGAAGCCTTCATAGTCCGATCAACATAAACTATACGTACTCGTATTGGACCAAGGCTATATTTTAATTTGATTTACTTAAACCCAATTCGTTCTAATGAGATTTAATCGAATTCCATTTAAATCTCATAACGTAAAAATATTATAAAAAAATATGAGACATTATAGGTTCTTTCCGTTTTAAGAGCGTTATTTTGTCGTGCAACAATGAGGAAGATTAAAACGACTTTTGTGTATGTCTCTTTTGGATTAGGATTCATTTTTTGATGTAACCTAAGCTACTAGGTCATGGTGCTTTGTTTTGAAATAGAATTTGTCATGCCGATGTTAGATCGAGATGAACTAGTGTATCTTCTATGTTTATTTCGTTACGTTATCAACTTCTCTATTTACGCATTAAGTAAGCATAATTAATTATTCGAAATAATCTACTATAAACTTAATACTACTCTATTATTTGTTCATATTGTGATCATATACTTGTTTTGTGCCAAATGCTACAACCACAAAACTATGATACCGATTGTTGTAGCAAGAGCGGAACGAATGTACTCACAACACCAATGAACGGAATTACACAAAAAGACACCAAGATATTTACGTGGTTCGGAGAGAAGAAATTTCTCTACATCTACGGGTAGCAAACAATCACTAATAATCAAAATGTTACAAGGGAATACCTCACTCTTGCACTACAAAGACTCTCGTCAAAATGTCACTCAAGAAATGTAATGTGACACACAAAACTCTATCAAATTTCGGAAACACCCAATGTTGACCACACAGAGAGAGACGAAAGAGCAGGTAATGCCAGTTGGCGAAGTGGCCTTTCGTCGAGTCCCGAGCTTGTGGTCCTCCTTTTAGTGTGGGTTCAATTGGATGAATCTGTCAAGTCAAGGTCAACGTACGTTCATTTGATTTACTCTGAATCTCGTTCCTCTCTAGCTTCTATTGACTTAATAAGTTTCTCAACGAGACCCCAGCGCTGGACTTCAAGGAAGTAAGTAATAGGCGTCGTGCTGCTAGGCGAAGTGGTGGAGTGCTGCACCCTAGATGGCGAGAGTCCAGTAGCCGAAAGCATCACTAGCTTACGCTCTTACCTGAGTCGCACGTACGGTAACGAGGGGGATTCACGTCTATACTGTAGTGTGGTGTTTGGGCCTACCCACCATCATTGTATGCTGACTCCGGCCTCGGGTTGGCTTTTTGGGAAGCTTGTTCCCGACAAGCAAGACCGCCCTTGTCCCTTTCCTTTCTCCATTCCGCCTCCTTCTTTCTTAGCTTTGTTCCAATCGAGTATAAGACAAGGCTCTTTCTAAGAGACGTGAATGTAAATAGAAAATATCGCCTGACTTTAAGTTTGTAGAAATGATGAGGCAGTACTCCCCACGATTGGCGAACAATGCAGCTCGCGGGAGATGCCCACTTCTCACCCAATATCAAATTCCGATATAAACAACCTCCTAGACAAACCCATTATCTATGCACAATTGTTTGAATCATTGAACGTTGTGGAATTAAATAAGATTAATATTAAAATGGTTACAAAATTAATAACCAAATTAATAATATTCTTATTTAATGAATTTATTAAATTGAGGAGAGTTATAAATTAAATAAAAAATCATGACAATTTACAACATGACAACGAGACAAACCATAAATAAAAGGAATATTTATACACTTGTAGGGCATTAAGAATTGATTGGGCATTGCATGTTATCGAGGGCGGAGAATATATTCTCGATCCAAACGAGAAAAAATATCTCCCAACTCCCTCCCTCATTGCCGGTTGAAATAGAAATTTTTCATTCTATTCGAAGTAGGTCTTCACGAGATTTCGCTTCCTCGGGCTGATGGATCTCTCAAACAACTTGAAGAGAGTTTTGGGGGTCTAACGTTCTCGCTGTCACACCGCCCGATGTTTGTCTCTAGTACCATTTGTAATAGTCAAATTCCTTATAATGGTGTGCAAACCTCTCTCTACCAGACTTGTTTTAAAATCATGAGGCTGAGGGAAATACGTAATGGACTAGAGCAGACAATATCTGCTATCGATAGGATTAGGCTGTTACAAATAGTTTCCATTTTTCAGTATAAGTGAATGGAGATTTGTGTGTGGTCATGGATGGAGACGGGTATGAAGAATATAATTATCGTCTCTGACCTCATTTAGCCAACAAAAAGAAATCTCTAAACTCCCTCCCTCAATCGAAATTTTCAATTTCATTTAAAGCAGTTCTTCACGAGATATCATTTCCATGGGCTCATGGACCTCTCAAACAATTTGAAGAGAGTTTTGGGGGTCCAACGTTCTCACTATCACACTGACCAGTGTCTGACTCTGATACTATTTGTAACAGCCCAATTCTTTATAATGGTGTGGAAACCTCTCCCTTCCAGACTCGTTTTAAAATTGTGAAGCTAAGGGCGTATGGGTCAAATCAAACAATATCTGCTGGGGGTTGATTAGGCTGTTACAAATAATTTCCATTTTTCAATATAAGTGATTGGAGATTTGTGTGTGGTCATGGGTGGAGACGGGTATGAGGAATATAATTATCGTCTCTGACCTCATTTAACAAAAAAAGAAAAAAAAAAATCTCAACTCCCTCCCGATCGAAATTTTCAATTCTATTTAAACCAGGTCACTTCGAGATATTGTTTCCATGAAGTTATGGACCTCTCAAACAACTTGAAGAGGGTGAAGAGAGTTTTGGCACTTTTTTGAGAGAGGATGAGGAGGAATAAGACATGAATGGAAAGTCTTGCATGTAAGAGAGAGAGAAAGGAGAAAAGGTTCATATTGAAATGGGAAACGTATGGTTCATGCATGTAATGGGAGGGAATATGTCGGAGTATATTCTACGCTAAGTTGGCGAAAATTAAAGTGAAATTTTTTGAAACTAACTTTGTCTTTACGTAAGGTTACAACTAGGCTATTTGGTCTCACTCGTTTGATCATATAAATTCTTGCTCTTGGCTTGGGTTTCTTATTCGAAAAGCGAAGGTAAAGGCACCGAATTCATCTAAGTTTCGAATTGATTATCGTTCTTCTCTTTCTGTAGTTTCTGATGGGTTTGATCATTAATCACCGAATGTTCTTGTTTTTGCAGGTAATTAGAACATGATTATATCAATCGGAGTAGCGATTGCATTAGGTGCTCTAATCATATGGGTTGTTCATCGAGCACTTTTGAAGCCTCCACCGGCTAAGAAATGTGGGTTCCCAAATGGTCCTGCAATGACTTCACCTCGAGTACAACTCCATGATGGAAGGTACTTAGCCTATAGAGAGCTCGGAGTTTCTAAGGAAGAGGCTCAATTCAAAGTCATTATTTGCCATGGCCTTGATAGCTGCAAAGATATGGACTTGCCTATCTCTCAAGTACTAAATTATTCCTTCTCTTACTCATGGCTCGAATATTTCCCTCGACTTGTATTACTCCACTAAAATGTACTCGATCTTTTTATTTTTAGGAACTTATGGAAGAGCTTAAGGTATATATATTGATCTACGATAGAGCTGGTTACTGTGAGAGTGATGCGTATCCAGCACGTTCAGTGAAGTCCGAGGCGTTTGATATTCAAGAACTAGCTGACAGATTGGAGATCGGCACAAAATTTTATGTAATTGGATGTTCAATGGGAGCACACGCTATTTGGAGTTGTCTGAAGTATATCCCACATAGGTATTTGTCTATTTCGCTATCATCAATTCAATATTTTGAAAGTATAGAGACTAGATAAACACAACAATCTAAATGAATATAGGCTATATAGATATAATAATCCCTGTTGAGGACGACGGGGAGGGAGTCCCACATTGGCTAACTTAGGTAATAATCATGGGTTTATAAGTGAGAAATAAGAGGAGACTGTTCGAGGGCTCTAGAGAAGGAGTCGAGCCTCAATTAAGGGGAGGCTGTTCGAGGGCTTCAGAGAAAGAGTCGAGCCTCGACTAAGGGGAGGCTATTCAAGGGCTCCATATACCTCAAGGGAGGCTCTATAGTGTACTTTAAAATAGTTTATCGTGCTTAACCATTTGCTTTTTATAAATATATCTTGATGGAGCAATATTTGTAGACTCCTAGGCGCTTCCATGGTGGTTCCTCCCGTCAATTTCTGGTGGCCTTCTCTTCCTTCAGCTTTATCTCGACCATCATTTAGGAAGCTTCCTCCATCTTACAAACGTACATTTTGGATTGCACATTACACACCTTGGTTGTTCTATTGGTGGATGACACAAAAATGGTTCCCAAAGTTGGGTAGGGAAGGCATGTTTTCTGATTCGGATGAAGTCATATTAAACCGACTATTAGAACGTCCTGAACAGGTACGTATCTTGAAATGATTACGTTCGACATAATTAATATGCTAAAGCATTGAAATCTTTTCTCTTTTGTAACAATTTCAGAAAAAAGTATTACAACAAGGTCAACATGATTCTTTTAATAGAGACATACTATGTAGTTATGGAAAATGGGAGTTTGATCTCATGGCCTTGACCAATCCATTTCCCGATAATAAGGGCTCTGTTCATATGTGGCAAGGTAGTGAAGACCGAATGGTTCCCATTGAATTGAACCGTTTTATAGCACAAAAGCTAACATGGATTCAATATCATGAGATTCCAAATCGTGGCCATTTATTAGTTCATGAGGCTGAACCCTTTGAAGCCATACTAAGGGCACTTCTCGCTCCGCCATCTATTAGTTCATGAGGCTCAACCCTTTGAAGCCATACTAAGGGTACTTCTCGTCTGATAACTTCATCGATGTCTGTCGAGATGGGAGGGTGGATAATTTACTATCGTTGTTATGTTGAATAATGTACAAGTTTTCTTAATCGTCTTGATTGTGTTCGGTTCTCGAATTCTCGAACACAAAAATGAAGGAGACTTCTTTATTTATAGAGCTTTTTTATGGTAGTGGGAGTTTGGGCTTAGATGACTTTTCCGTCTCATCATTTGAATTTGAGCTTTGCTAGTCGTTAACTTCAACACATCAATTTAAAATTGGTCGTAAATACAATAGTTCTTTTTATATCATCATTAAATTAAAAAATGCATAATATTTTATTCCACCAATTTGAACATAACTTAACTCATTTATCTAAATTGTTTTTAAATAATTTTATTTTCTTTCGGGGTGTGTTTTGGATTATTCTTAGAGAGGTAAAAGTAATTACATAACAATCTTAATCACTTTTAGTAATTGTTAAGGTTAACTATGAACTAATCGGTTAGGATTGTCGTTTTCCCTTTAAACGTCAAATCGACAATTACGTTTTAAACTTTCAATTTTATCTTTATAAATTAAAATTCATTTAGTATATTCCTCGGGAGATCCCATACTGGTTAGAAACTGAAACAAAGCATTCATTATAAGAGTATGAAAATCTCTCCCTGTTTTAAAATCGTGAAGATAACAGTGATATGTAACGAGCCAAAGTAGACAATATTTATTAGCAGTAGGTTTGGGCTGTTACAAATGGTATCAGAGCAGATACCAAGTTGTGTGCTAGCGAGGGCATTTGCTACCAACGAAAGTAGATTGTGAAATTCTACATCGGTTAGAGAGTGAATTGAAGTGTGCATTATGTCATGGTCATGGTTGTCCAAGACATGTAGCCTATGGCCACATGTAAGATGTCCCAGTCATACTTGTTTAGGACGTATTGTCCATGACCACATGTCGTATGCCTGTTCCAAGCCTTCGCTACGAAGCTTTCATGTTAGATAGGTCGTTACTATCATTGTTATGTCAATACGGAGGTGTATGACCAGTCACCAAAATCATGTCTACACCCGCTATGGCTAAAATACTCTAAAATGTACTATAGGGGGATGTGACTAATTGTCAGTTCTCTCTACTCGGGTTATTGTTATCAAAAACTTTGACCATGATCGTAATGCCTCATCCAAAATGTGGCTCGATACTTTCATACTTGCGGTTTTTTCTTAAACTTAGATTTAAAACTTTCTATTTATGGTTAAGGCAAAGGGATTTTCTAAATCTCACTACTTACTAAGCTTAATTTCCATTAAAGATATTTGTGTCGTTAATAGATCTCAAGTTTACAATGTTTCAACTTTCACTTCTTAAATATCTATAGCAGGCTATACGATGTTATTGTCTATCAAGCCTCCTTAGTCATTATCATTTGAAACTACTTGCTCGTTAGTATACGTTGGTATATTCATTTCCATCTATATGATCATAACACTACGTATTTTAACTATGTTCGTTACATCTTACTGAAACATCTGATCTTCTTAGCAAAATCTTTTGTACATATATTAGTATTTGGTAGCTTACTAGACTATAACTTCCCATTCACGGTACAAACGTTCATAAATCTAAACATTATCAGTACATCAACTGCATTCACATTCCATGCAAGGTAAATCATGACATAACAAAACAACATTATTTATTATCTTTTGTAAGGCATACTTGACGTGACGGTATGTCTGCAGAAGGACCATGAATGTATGTTGAGCCTCGTAGGCCGATCTACAAAATCTAAAAACCTAGGGATCTGATACCAACTAAAATGCCTCTAATTTTCTTACTTGAATGAGAGATGTCGTCACATGCATTAGTTAAATAACATATGCGAAAATTTGAAATAAAATGTTTCAAATGAAGTTATAGACTTATACATTTAATTTAAATCAAGAAAATAGAGATAACATAGTCTTTGAACACGAAAAATGCAATAAACCACCTATCAACTACTAAATGAAATTCAATGCATATCACTGCACTATCTTGACTTCTATAGTCATTCTAGTACTTACTCACATTCGTGCAAGGGTATTTTACCTTTACCTAAAAAATATAAGGGTAGCACGTGATTTGATTATTTTAAGAAATACTAGTAAGTCACCCCATTATTGGAGTTAGTAAAGCAATCACACGCATATGGTCTTGAGCTCTTTCCAGTTTCGGATAGGGTTAGATGTATGGTACTTCTTCACACACGGCCCACACACACGCACATGGACCCACCAGGTGGGCTCGTATACGTACCCTCTGTGTCAAGCTTGGTCAGGCAAAATGCACAAATGCGTCACTAGATGCCACAGAAAAGGAAAGCTCACATGATATCATGACAAACATAAATATCGAAGGTATCCCGATGCATATGACCTACATACATGCAAGAGGTCTCTATGATTTACATTCATAGCATAACTTTAACATCATTTCTTTCTCCTTTCATCCATGACATAGTACCTACATACATCATGTATACATGGCAGTCGTCACATAATCTATCACATATCTTTACATGGCAAGACATAACATAGTATTTCATTTCCTTCACAATATGGCGTAATGGATATCACATGCATATATAGCATAACATCATATGTCATTACATACAACACATATACATAGCATAAATAATATGGTGCATGCAGGTGCTCGGGACACGCACCATCATACATCATTCAATTATCTAACTCCAACAATAAGGTCACTTATCTGATTAGCTTAAGCTACTGTCACCAATTTATTCTTGATGAATCTTTGATTTTGACTTTTGAAATCAAGTCAATCTATGTGTGCCTGTGACATCAATTTCAAGTACAAACTGTCGTAAAACTATTTCTCTAAATTTTACAATGGCCCATGTGTTAGACTTCCGGACATCAGAGACTTTGCATGAGTAGAGTCTTACAATGACTCATGTGACTAACAATTTAATACTTCTCAGATCTTTCATCTTCTGTTCACACGTTTGACCAATTTTAATCAACTCTTTGTTGGATGAAAGTCCACAACGGCTAATTTAGGAAATGATCATGGGTTTATAATCAAGGAATACTCTCTCCATTGGTACGAGGCATTTTGGGGAAACTCAAAGTAAAGCCATGAGAGCTTATGCTCAAAGTAGATAATATCATACCATTGTGGAGAGTCGTGTTCATAACACACTCTTAACTTTATTTTTCTAAAATTCATAAAAAAATAAAAAAAATCATACGAGGTAGGTTGTTTGACAAGAGGTTGAGTGAAGTATTTTAGAGAACGAAATTACGAGAGGTTGGTGAAGAGATAAGATCGATTATCTCATATTAGGTAGGTTGTTTGAAGTGATTATCTCATATTATCCTTATTATTATTATTAATTAATTAATTAATTAACTTATTTGGTAGGTTGTTTGACAACGGGGTTGATTGAAGTATATTAGAGAAGAAGTTACAAGAGCTTGGTGGGGGAGATAAGATCGATTATCTCATATTATCCTTTTTATTATTATTATTATTAATTAGCTTATTTTCTTTATTTATTTTTATTAAAAATTTTCTACTTAAAAAGGTCTTTAAGGTCTCTACTGTATACATATCATAAACATTGAATGCGGAAATACTCTAATTAAACTTTCACAAAATATAATTTTCAGCTTAAAACACTGTCATGGACTTACGTGTTTTGAAAGACGACACAACAAAAGACTAAATAAAATAAATAAACCTTTAAATAAAAAGTATCATATTCTAGCCTAAGTCAACAAAATAATACGAATACCCTATGCATGTGTCATAGTCTCGAGTTGTGATGTCATCGTCAGCCGTACAAGAATGCATTGACTTAATCTGAAATAAAGGTAGTATGTGGCTTGAGTATTTTAAGAAATGCTTAGTAAGTGACTTCACTATTGGGAGTTAAATGCAAGAACATGTGAATGCAATGACAGGATCTATCAGTCTATTTTTTCCTATGACACTATTTTAATTGGGCAGCTTGTATGTGTACCATATACTCTACACAGCCCAGACATGCGAATATGGGCTCACTAGATAGTTCGCACACCGTTGGCTCATTTTCTTATCGGGCGAGCCTTCTTTGGTAGCTCAACTTTTGCCAGACACACATTAGAATTAGTAACCGTCATGACAACATTATGTAAAACATAACGATACTTTGTCTACCTAATGGATGTACGTGTCTATACCCTCGTGATGGAATAGGGGTATCCCCAAATGCATGAACACACATAATGCATGAGGTCCCAACATTTTTCCATCTTCATTATCATTTAATACAAATGCGCTAGCGTTCTGTACATATCATATCGTTTTTCATATCATTTCACGTATCGTTCATCATTCATATCATATCGTTTCTCATTCTTCAGTTCTCATATCATACATAATTCTAACGGGGTTATATTTCATGTTATTTATCGTGATTTCATGTCATTCATATCATGTTGTAACACACAATTTATGAGACATAACATAACGTCCCATGCTTTTAACATAACATTGCATCATATGCATATCATACCGTAACATATCGAATCACAATATATCAGATCATAAACATGTCAATTTATCACATATCTCGTACCATAACATATTTCATGACAATATATATATATATATATATATATATATCCGTCATTCACATGTCATATCATATCGTAAACACCTCGTGGTCATATCGTTCCCTAACTTATCATAGCCTTAACGTTCTTATACCTATCATAGTTATGTTGACACATGAACGTACCTTAGTCATATCATCACAGGAACGTATCCTAACACTATCGTTCTATCAATCTATCACACACCTATCCCATTCTACCCATAACTTAACCGTATTTCTTTATCAATATCTCATATCCATAGCACTTCAGTATATAACATAACCTTAATGTTTCATGAACGAAACTTACTCCTATCGTTACATTTCGTTTTGTGCATTCTTATCGTATCCTATCTCAAACATATCATTGAACACATCGTACCGTAATTATTATCATACAATTCACATATTATAACATATATATAACATATCATAAGCATAACGATCTACACACAATTCACACATATCAATATATATGACACGTGCAGAACCACGGGACATGTGTCAACATCAAATATAACCATGCCGATAA